GTGCAGCATCAGCAAGGATCCCGATGTCACTGATAGCACTGCCTCAGCTGAAGCCTGAGCAGGATTTAACCTCTTGTCAACTTAATTCTGAAAAATACTGAGGAACCAACCAATATTTAAAGTTTAGCCCTCTTCTGAAAGAGGACTTATCACAGAAAACCATCAATAGGCTTTCAACTTCAGATCACTATCCACAAGTAGAGTTGATCAGTTTCTTTGGCCAAGAATGAGGCAAGTCAAACTTGCCATAAACTTTACATGTGTATTAGGAACACAGTGTAATCACATCTCCCTGGCACATTTACTCAATAAATGTGTCACTATTTTATGCCTATTCAACATTTTATTTCTTATTCAGCATGAACATCAAACTAGATGCCTAACAGCAGATACTAAATACTGGATTTCTGGCAAAAAGGTCTATAAACTACTATCACATACAGGTGATCACCTCTATTCTTTGCATTGAGAAAGTGAAGGCTGAAATGCTAGCAAACAGCCAGGCAGCAATTACTTGGGGTTTCTATTTTGAAGACAGTTAAAAAAAAAAAAAAACACAAAACAACAAAACAAACAAAAAAAAAACACAAAAAAAACAACACAAAAAAACCAGCAATAATAAAAAAAAAGGCAAACAGCCAATTTGCCATTCCACCTCTGATCCAAGAACTGAAATTTAAGATGAGAAACTTAAAATTCCCACATCTTGTAACTTGGAATAAAAAACAACTGAACACTTTTCAGAGCAGTTGACAGAATATTTTCAACTGAATTGAAAAAGTAGCTTTCTAATTGTAAGATTAGAAGCCTATCTCCAGAATGGAAAAGAAAAAGCCTTATAGGTGGACATTCAATGCCTAAATTAATTTGGGTTTTAGAAAGTACCTGATCTCTCTCCCATGAGTGGGGAAAACATGCTCTAATCTAAATATGTAGACTTCTTAGAATCTCTTTATAAGACTTGCTCTGTAATTCGGCTGCAGAGGGCAGTTGCAAAAACCCAGGGTAGGAAGCCAGCTTCAGAGGTGTTAAGCCTGTACAGTACCTTGATTTAAGCCCATCTGGAAGCGGTTTTCAGAAGAAAACTGTAAAATACAATTACATTAAGTTGCTTAGGATTTATGGACCCCCAGATGTGTCCTTCTGGCTTTACCTCTGGATATCCACTTACACAAAAAATGTTTACCAGAGTTTAGATATTACCAGAGAGACAGCTTTTTGAACAGGAATACTCATCAAAAGCAATGTCTTCTGGTCCTGCATCTGCTTTTAGCTTCTTGGCAATATGATGTTGAGAAAGAAATGTGACAACTCTTAACAGAGAAAAATCCATAGCTTTAGTCTGATCCACCCCATCAACACGGAGGAGTGCCCTAAGCAAGCCCCACTCTTAGCTAAGCAATTGAAGTCTTTCAGCTGAGGGGGGGTCAGGGTGATAGTGCAAGATTGTGGGACTGTGCAAGAAACTGCTTCAAGGTCAAGCAGGAGATTTCTCATGGGGTCTTTTTCCTTTTAAATCAGAGGTTATGAGGAACAAGAGCAAATTCTGGTAAATATTTTGAACTGAAGGATTATTCCCTTCCACCTGTAGCAGAGAAACAAGATAGGGCTTTTATTGTTTGGCATACTACCAAGGCAGAAGCCACGGCTAATGACAGCAGAATACACACATGGAAATGGAATGCCCCAAGAAGGTCAAATCACTATTTATCCCTAAAACTACCTGCTCCTAGCTGAAGGATCAAGCAATTAAGATGCCTGCAGCCAACTGACTGTAGGGCTTCGTCCTGACACCACCACCTTTCTGATGGTGCTCAGCAGAAGAGGTTGCCATCTTCCTGAGCTTAAGTGTAGGTAAGCAAGGAGGTATATCTGCTCTCTCCTGCACATGTAGGAAGTATAGGACTATGGGAAGGGAAAGCCAGCTGGACTAACCAGTATAATATGAATTTTAACCTAACCCACAGATACAGGGGTCTTGCTCAGTTGCATCTACACCCTCCTCTCCCAGTCCCCCCATGAAAATGTAACATCCAGAAGCAAGAACTGGCCCATCTGATGTTTAGTGCCTAACAGCAACCAGTAACAGAGTATTCAGGATAAGGTATTTACAGAACACTCTTTTGGCTTTAGCATCCTGTTTATTAGAATAGCTAGTTTAACAAACATCGAATTAAAACCAGCCAAGAAACAGGGAGATGCTCTTGTTGAAGCCTCCTCTCAACTTCCTTGGAAAGCAATCATGATTACAGTGCAGCTCAGCATTTATTTCTTTCCAAAAGAGATCAAAAAGAAAGCTCACAAAGGGGGTAACACTTAACGCAAGTTTTCTCCCACCCCAATGTTGTACCATTGTTTCATTACCTCAAGTTACATTAAAGTCAGTTAGAAGAAATTAGCAGACTGTATTTGTCTTCCATGTAAATTGCTAGTGCTGATAAAGCAGATTACTCAAAGGGAAAAAATAGGCAAGTTAGAGACCCCAAAAGAAAAAAAAAAAAAGAGTAACAGTAAATGTACAGGGATCATAAAGAATGAATCAAACTCTATGCTAGACCTATACTGCAGTGTCATTTCCTTACAGCAAATCCTGTTGTAAGTTGTTCCTTACAGCAAATCCTGTAAGTTGTCCTTTAAGAAAGGACAACTAATCTGCTTCAGCAATACAAAGTTATTTTCACTTCAGAAGCTGTTTCCCACCTTCCCTACTCACATCAGAAGTATCAAATATATTTCAATAACTTTGAATTAAAAACCCACAAAAACATGGAACAAACCCATGGATTCCCATAGCTAAAGCAGAGCATCCACAAAATTCAAGACTTACTATATGTTCTCCATTATACAGCTCAAAATACACAGTTATGATTTAAATGGCATTATAGAAGGTAATTTTGGCTTGCTTATCATTAGAGACTAAAGAGCCAGTTACTGTATTTGGTAGATATTTGGTTTTAAGCACTATTCTAAATTGTCAAGATTAATCACAATGATACATCTTAAGTATTTATTTCAACTTAATGTACCAAAACAAGTATACTATACTCTCAATATAAGTGAAATTAATTACCCTACAATCATCACAATAATCCCAAACCAGAATTAAACTTAATTGGAACCTGCACACATTAAAAACCAACATGTTTTTGAGTGCAAGTTCACCACACATTTGCTACACTCCAGTGCCATCTGTCTATAAAAAGATAATTAACATTTTCAATACAAAGAAATACAGCTTGTTTTAAAGTGTACTTGGTCCTAGGCCGTTGAATCCACTTAAATTCCTAAGATGAATGACAGCGCTGATCCTTTTCTGAATTAAAAAGCTGTTACAAATCGGTTTCCTCACTGTGTGTTTAAAAAGTGAGCTTTTCTGAGAAACAAATTCATGCGGAATGTGCTGATACAGAGATGATCTGTGGAGGTCTCACTCCTAACTACTCCCCCAAATTAACCTTCAGGTCTTTTAGCACTGAGCAGCTGCATTTTGAAGACCCCAGAAAACCTGGGAATAATCACCCTCCAGTCTGCATTTAGAAGACCATTTGAGGACAGCCCTTTGAAAGTCCACAACCTCAGTGGAGTGGCAAAAAATACAAACACTCTGCCAAGCTCTGCAGCACAAGGGAGCTGACACGGACGCTGGTGCTGAGGACAAAGCAGGTTCATTAAATGCAGGGCCTTCCCTTTCCTCCCGCACGGTGGCTGGCCGGGGGAGGTCGTTTTCTCCCCTCCTTGTGAAAAGAGCACAAACAGAGTTTGATTTTTTTCCTAAAGTCTGGTAACAAGCTGAACAGCTTTAAAACAGCCTGATGTGAATTTAACAAAATGTGGCCTAGCCCCTGCGCTCAAGGGTGCATTCCCACACATCACATAGGAAACCAAAACGCTGTACACTTAATGCTACACCGTATTGGGGGGGTGGGAAGTTACTTGCTCACACTTTTTTTGAAGGGCACGCGTTTCAAGGAAATGCTAGAGCTTCTAGAACACTAAATATTGCTTTTCAAGGGGGAATTAGAGCAGAAGGAAGACAGACCTTTTCCAAGGGCCTCCCCCTGCTCCTCACTCCCTGCACCGGCTGTTTTTCCCGTAGCGCCATCTGCTGGTCTCCCGGCCTGAGGCACCGCAGGGAAAATTCCATCCCTATCCCGATCCCTATCCCGCAGGTAGGGCAGGCTTCGTGGGGAGGCACAGCTCACCCGCCCCTTGGCGAGGAGACTTCAAACCCAGCGACGGACTAAAACTCCTAATCTCTTCCCGCCAGAAGTGAGCACTTCTCTGTTCTCTGCCGTTTCCCACTAATTCACATACACATGCGAGACTGCAACATAACAGGTTTAGAAAAAGGCTTGTTCTTCCTCATTTCCTCCTCAAGGCGTTTCACAAAACTAATTCATTATGGATTCCTTTCCTTTATCTAAATAAAATTTAGTGTTGTACCTCATTTAATTCCAAAAATACTATTTCTGTAAGTCGGGTGAAATAATTTTCTCGTTAAGTAGCTACAAGTCAAAGGAAACACACTTTTGTGAAATACGGGCTTAACTAAAATCACCTACCATTTACCAACATGCAGTGAATGATTGTATTGCAATCATAGTTTGGAGCCTTAAGTCAGAGCAGCTGTAGTGATTATGCCAGAAGTGATGTCTTTAGGTATTACCCAGAGAGGGGAAAGCAAGCAGGCAAAGGAAGGAGCAAAGTTGGGGCTGCAGGGCCAGGGCAGTGGGGAAGCAAGGCAGGAAGAAGTGCAGCAAAGGTAGAAACATGTATTTGGGCACCAGAGGTGTCTGGCAACAGGTTTGGCCTGATGCTTTAAATCAGAGTTCATTTTTCTTTACAGTACACATGCTCTACAGTACACACACAGCTATAGTACAGGTTCGTGTTTCATTTCACCATCACAATATTCAGTGATGTTTCCATCATATTTTGTTCTACTTTATTTTTTTTCAGTCTCCTAAAGAGAGCGTTTTTTTACCAAGCTTGAGTTCATCACCCTCCATTTCAGCCTGATGCAGCTCAGCACCACCGTGGCTGTGGGCCTTCACCACCATCACCAAGCATGGGCTCAGTTCACAAATGACTGCAACAGCTTTATCCGGAACTTGTTGGCTCATCAGGTGCATATTCAGTTGCTTCAGTTTTCTGCAAGCTACCATCTGTTATCTCTGCACTTTCTTGTTCCTTTTCCATGCTTTTCAATGCATCTGAACTTGCTGGCAACAGACCAAGTACTGACTCTGAGCAGATCTCTCCAGCTGCAAGAAGAATCCCATCTGCAGCTTCAGGCTGTCCCTCCATCTCATTTTCAGTTTCTTTACTTGCAATCAAAGCCTCAGCAATATTTTCAGGTGGTTTATCATCAGCTACTACTGTTGAGGCAAGCTTATAGCTTGCAGCATTTGCTCCTATTTCAGCCTCTGCAGCACTGTTTGGAAGGTCTTCACTGGTTTCTGCCCCATCTGTCTGCACTTCTTGCTCTTTACTCTCTTCTGTATTGCTGGAGCCCACATTAATCGAACACTCACAATAATAGTAACCAGATTGCTGCTTCTTCTTACGCATGGCACAGAGGTCAATTTGACTGAAGACCTCTGTGCCAAAGTAGCTGTTTTCATACTCCTTATACAGATCTGAACAAATTTTTTTGAAGCCCTGAATATTGAAAGAACAATGTCACATTATATGTTTATTACATATGCACACATAAAATACATGCACTTTAGAAATGTACAAGATGTAAGCATTATTGTATAACTTAAAGATAATACCTCCCTCCTCCTCCCAATTAGGATAGCAGTATTAACTGTATCTGGTAGTATTTAGATTGATCCAAGTGCTGAGAAAAATCAACCATTACAAGTGAAAAAATCATAGGAACTTCAGCTTTTGCTGACTCCTCTACCTACTGCAACTTCCACAAACAAAAAACATTTCTATGAAGATATGGGAATAAAATCAATTTAACTCACTGTTATTCAAATGCAGTCACCTAATTTTAGGTATTTTAAGCAAGTTTGCAGTCACCACGTCCATTGGGATGCCAGTCCCTAGTTTTTTGAATTGCCTTTACATGGAATTTATTTCATTTAAAGTTTACTTTGCTGTTTCATCCTGCTGCTACCCTTTAGCAACTGAAAAATGAATCTTTCTCCTTGGTGTACACATTCCACGACAGTAATTAAATTGCGTGATAGAAACAGGTTAGAAAGAGAGTTCACGCACCTCCTTTCCTGTGAGCAAGAAGTATTCAAAGGAAATTTAACTCACTGACTTATTGTGAAAGTAAGCTCATTTCAGCTAGCCAGAAAAGGAAAAGGAAATCACAGCAACTCTTTTGACAGCTAGCAAGCACTGCTAGTATCCCAATGGCCAAATGCTACAGCAGTCATGCCACATAAATGGAAGGGTTTACACATAGATGTGTTTTCAGGTGTTGACATGCTCTTTTCAGACTAATAAAAAATAGTTTCTACTGCCATAATAAAAGCACATGTTCAGAAACCATTATAGTTTAAGACTGTCAAGATTTAAAATCCACAGTCACCCCAAGTAATTTCTTTGCAGTTTTCCCCCAACAACTTCGGGCACAGCAGCACTGATTCCCCTTTACAGGCGTCAACAGGGATGGGCAAGCAATCCAACAACTCCATGGTCCCCACAGTTTTAATTCAGCCAGCAACAAGTTGCCAATTTAAACGAGGAGCTCCCACTAAGCATTTAACCTATAACAAACCATAGATGCCAAGGGCACGCATGGAGATGAAGTGAAGGATGGATGAATCATTAAGCAAGAGGGGATAGTCCTCACCTTTTCTTAACCTAATGAGCAAACAAACTAACAAGGCTCCAAGGACCTGTTTGCAGCACATTGCTTCAAAGAAGTCTCAATCGGTTTGTTCAGGCCTGCTCACAAATGCACAGGAGTGCATAATTTAAAAACAAAAAACAAAAAAGCAAAAACCAAAAAACCAAAAAGCCTCTTTACATGCTTCTTTCCTTGTAAGAACAGCTTTTTTAGCAGGTGGACATGCATGGTGTGGGGATTGCAGGAGGATGGCCAGTGTCACCTGAACAAAACTAGATGTAAATGGTTTCACAATCAAACATATCAAGCCATTAGGCATCACTGCCCCCAATGACCAAAAAGCTTTGAAGTTTAATTAAACAAATTGCACACCTCTTCCTGTGCTCTGGAGACACCCATGTGTCAGTCAGATCCAGGCTGTCCAGTAGCCAAGAGCTATGTGTTGCTTTAATGCCACCAGGTTCAAGTTCTGCTGAAAGGCAGAGGTAAATGTGCATGGGCTGTTTTCTGGGTAGTTCAGGAGGATAATGGAAATTTGAGTAAGGTCATGTCATTGAAGATAACTCATCAAGCAGCCAGAAGAGGGCAGGATTAGGGTTGTCTTTTCATTAAGAAGCTCCAAATATTTTAACGTAAATATGCAACTCTGGAGGATTGCTGCTCTCTCACTACCTAGGTTAGCCCACAGCTATTTGCAGACCTGTACCAAATAAATCTACTTAAAGCAGCATAAAAATCAAGAACAAGCATTTTCTGCTTTAGCACGAGGCGTCTGATCCGCAGCTTTTCTCTGGCGCAGGCAAGCACAGGCAGCAGCCAGCACTGGAGGCCAACCACCTGCACTGACAGAAGTGCTTCCTTAGTCTGTGTGCTGGAGAAGGCTCTTACTACAGGTACTGAAGTGGATTCTCTTAAAAGGTGAACTGTTCCCTTTTGGCTCGTTAGAAGGAGAGGTCAGAGAACCTGAAGAGCCCATATTTTTTATTCATGCCAGAGGTGCACTTCACATTTTGAACCCGATAAACAGCACATACTGCTCCTTTGGTAGCTATTCCAGCTAAATAGCACACAAACCAAGCTCTCTGACCTCTTGAGATATTTAGAGGCAAAACTAAAGTCAAAGATGCACGATTCCCAAGGAAAAAAGTTAGAGTTTGGAGTAGTTGCTTTAAAGAGAACCAGCTCCTCCTTTCTCACAAATAAGGACAAGGTCTCTAGCTACTCCACCAATCCCATCACGTATCTGTCTTGTTAACAAAGTATTGTTGAGATGTAAACTATATACAGTGACTACCAGTAACTATTTCTCAAACTTCTTATATGAAGCACTGAAGTTGCATGAAGCACTGAAACTGCATCCTTACTACAACTGAACATTTATTGTATAAAGAAAGTAATTACAGCCAGTAGATGGCATCATAATAACTAAGGTAATACTTAGTCTTATTCATACTTTGGCATCTTCTAGTGTTTAGGAAGATTGATTTCTCTCCTGCAGTCTTTAGGAATGGATTATTATAGAAGTAGTCAGTTTTCCTTTTCCCATTACATTTTGGTTTTGAAAGAGATGCAGTAAACTGTCCAGTTTGGTCTTTAAGACTAAATCCTATGTCTAAGGTTGAGACTTACTAACCTCAGGGAGATTTGTTCATGGACATATAAAGTGCACATAGCTCCTGATAACTAACTTAACATACAGCCCTGCCTCGCTTCAGTTTTCACAGACCTGATGTGTAGAATGGTATTGTAGGAGCAACAGTTTTAAGGTGCAAATAAATTTGGACAGGAATGAGCAATGCTTGGTAAACAAGGGAAAAGAAGAGAATATTTTCTACCTGGACTTCAGAAAGTCTTTTGACCCTGTTTTCCCTTAAGATCTTCATAGAGAAGCTGATGAAGCATGGGCTAGATGAACACTGGTAAACTGAAAACTGGCTGAACAACCAGGTCCAGAGGGTAGTGACTGGTGGCACAAAGTCCAGTTGGAGGCTGGTAACTAAAGGCATACCCTGGAGGTCTATACTGGGGTATGCCTCTGGCTCAGCAACTTCGTTAATAGTGTGGATGATGAGGCAGGCGTGCAGCCTCAGCAACTTCACTGACAAAATGACAAAACTGGGAGGAAAGGCTGATTCAGCAGGGGGTTATACTGCCATCCAGAGGTACCTCAACAGGCTGAAAAAATAGGCCAACAGGAGGAACTTCATGAAGTTCAGCAAGGGGAAGTGTAAAGTCTTACTACAGGGAATGAACAACCGCATGCACCAATAAAGGCTGAAAGCTGATAGTAAAGCAGCTTTGCAGAAAAGGGCCTGGAGGTCTCGGCAGATACCAAGTTGACCATAAGCCAGCAGCATTCCCTTGCAACAAAGGTGACCAGTGATATCCTGGGCTGCGTTAGGACAAGTACTGCCAGCAGGTTAAATGGAGGTGATCCTTCCCTCTGCTCAGCAATGGTGAGACTATAGCTGGAGTACTGGGCCCAGCTCTGGGCTCCCCACTTGGTAATCAAGCGTTCAAATCTCTATACATTTACATATTCATATAAGCAAGAAGATTACATACACAAATCATTATACAATAATACATGCCGTATTTGGTGCTAGATATCAAAAGAGAAGAACATGCAATAATTTTTTTTTTTTTTTTTACTTTCAGCTTGGTAGTAAGAACTGTGAAAATACTCTGGACAAAAGTCAACAGTAATTCCTACACACCTGTGGTATATTTTCTTTTGCATTAGACATTGCTGATGATTGTACTCATGAAATTCCCCATAGACAATATAAAAGAAAAAAGCCTCCAGCACAAAACTATCAGTACTATCCAACTTTGATTGTACCGTGTATAGAGAAGGCAAATATCAATTCAATATGAAGCACTTGATGTGCACAAATACAAGGTCATTTTCTTCAGCTATTACAGCATTTTCTGTTTTCTTTGTATATACTCCTTTAGTGTTTCAGGTTTGCAATATATTGACCTCATAAATACAAGTACTATTCCTGGAAATAAGCAGGACAATATACCACTGGGAAATGAGCAATCTAATCAGAGTTGGGTTTTATTTTAATTGCATGTGATAAAACCTCATACAATGCTGCAGTAAAGGTTAGAAAAGCACACCACACATTTCTAGCATAAATCAAGGCACCAGCCTGGCTTCCAACATGACATTAATATTGTTCTCAAATAAATACTGCTCAGAATCCATCCTGCCCTATGGAAACAGATTGACATTGTGTTTTCCGTGCAGACTCAACTAGCCGCAACAGAAGGAAAGGACTGTGTTCTCTACAATACATCCATACACAATATGAGAAAGAGACCTCATCACTTCTAATTGTTTATGAGCAAACAACTCTGCGGGCCAGCCCATATGCAAGCTTTGTTAAATAGAAATATTTTTTCCCTATTTGCAATGATTATTGCAACTAAACCATATATATGCACACTTAAGTATATGCTAGATACTTATATATACTTACATATATAGTCCCCAAGAATTTAATTAGAAGGAAAATAATCACTAGAACAGAACAGATTCCAGTAAGGAAAAACATGTATATTAAAACCCATTACTTACCTTTCTTTTCAACCTTGGTGCTTTGGAGAGCTTTAGGAAAGTAAGATGTGGTTTGAAATCCTTACTCCCTGAAACATCGAGATTCATTTCCACAAAGCATTCTTCTACAGCTTCTGGTAAAGAGATAAAATCAGAAACAATAAAAAAAAAAATAATAACAGTTGTGAGGTAGTTAAAAATATTTGCAATCAGGTTGCTGAAAAGCCATTATGGCTTTCTTGAGCAAGCCACATAGTTAAAACACACACAGCAGATAACCAGCTGCTGTGCCACCACAGACAACAGAAATGAAAAATAAGCAAAACCAAAGTTGTACATGATGTACAGCTATATTTAAAAACCTGAAAGTGGATCCAAACTTTCATGCTTGCAATGCAACTTCTTCTGAACTCACAGGGCTGCTATAACAACAGTGAGTTCAGGGAAGCACATGCCCATGAAAGCCCTGCCCAAACAAGATGCAGCACCAGTGGCCACAACTGGGGAGTGTAATGAAACAGAGTCTCCCTGATTATTGAAAAAAGCAATGAGATAAGCAAAGTGCTTCTAGTAAAAGGTGGCAAGATGCACAGAACTAGTACAACTCTGCAGCACTTAGAGCAGTTCAGAGGGAAACATCACATGCAGTACTCCTTCCCCAGATTATGTAATGTACAGCATTTGTGATGGTGTCAGTATAAATGTTTTGACCACAAAATTATAAAGCAATAAGGTTTTATTTTGCATTGAAAGAAGTGTCTGTAAGCAACTCTAGACTTTATATTTTTCAAGGTCTTTCAGCTAAGGTTGTAACAACAAGTTGAGCCAAGTTGATCTATTGCTGGTTTTTGTGAAGTTTGAATTGTGGGATGCAGAGTCCTGCAAGACTAGTGAGGTGAAGCTTACATGAGGTAGACCCCTGCCAAGTCTAGCAAATGTAGAAGATCAAGTGTTGGTCAACAGTTGCCCTTGAACAGTTAAAAACTCTTCCCAGCCATTTTTCTTACTGCCAGAGGTATTTTATCCCCATTATACAACTGGGAGGGAGGGGGGGAAGAGGGGGTGGGAGGAAGAAAAATCAACATCTGCCCTGGAAACCTGTAAATTCATATGGCTCTCCCAGACCACCCCCAACCTTGCCACCCATCCTTGTTACTCCTTAACTGCTTAGGCAGTGAGAGAAGCAGGTTCAGTGTTCACATTTGTATTAAAAATAGCATATCACATATGTGATTTTCAACAAGGCACTAATCACGCTACTTCCATTTTATGTTTCCCTCTATCAGGAATTTTGGATACATGTATGTTTACTAGTTTATCACATGCTTTTATATCAAGGCCAAGTATCTGGCTTGGAGTTTGGCTAATTAATACATTAGAATGTTTCATCTCAGTATTTGTGAGGGAACAGCAGCTGAGGCTGTCTGGTCACTTTGCCAAGACAGCTACTTTGTTTTCCATCTGGAAAACGTATAAATAATAGGAACCAATTGCCCAAAAAAAAGTATTTAGTGCCCTTCTAGATACCCTACAGGAAGCCCACCTGGCCTCCATCTGCTGCTACAGAAGGGTGCAGTCTGGCTGTATGTCCGGTGTGGACATTGCAGATAATTTAGGGCATCTAAAAATGGTACTAGGTGATTATGGCTAGGTATCAAATAAGCCCTAAAGCACCTCTGGTACTTTGTCAAATAAAGCACACTAACAAAGTTTCTGCATAGAATCATAGGGTGGTTTGGGTTGGAAGTTGTCTTAAAGATCATCTAGTTCCAACCCCCCTACCACTGGCAGGGGCACCTTCCACTAGACCAGGTTGCTCAAAGCCCCATGTCATGTTGTCAATACGTCAAAGCACAGCAAGCCCCAAGGAACACATGCAGCAGCAAAGTATCTAAGCTCCTGCTAGGAAAAAGCCCTTCTCCACACATCATCTTGATAAATAACATCATCCAGATGCACAAGAAGAAGCAGCCTAAATCTTAACTGTGGCTGGTCTCTTCTCCCAAGTATGAAGTGACAGAACAAAAGGTAACAGCCTCAAGCTGCACCACATGAGGTTTAGATAGGATATGAGGAAAAATATCTCCACTGAAAGGTTAGTCATATATTGGAACAGGCTGCCCAGGGAATCACCAAACCTGGAAAAAAAAAAAAAAAAAAAAACATGTAGATGAGGCCCTTGATGACATGGTTTAATGGTGGTCTTGACAGTCCTGCAGCTGTTGGACTTGGTCTTTTCCAACCTAGTGATTCTGTGATTAACCTAACAAAAAGCTGTAAGTAGCATCTCCTCATGTTCACCACCCAACACCAATCCTACCAAACAGCAGGAAGAGGTTGCTACTGCAAAGTGAAGGTCTTACTGCCATGAGCAGTTCCATCAGAAAAGTTGATGATAGGTCAAGGGTAGGAATCATCTTCAAGAAGTCTATTTAGGACCAGTGTTAATAGCTGATGTCCTGCCATGTCAGAATGGCACTCAATTTTCCAGACACCATCATCCCTAGCTTATTTGAGAAATAGCCTAAGACAATTCAAAGACATCTTAAGCAGTACCTCTTTTTCAAAGCAGATGGAGTCACTAGCAGCAAAAGAAGCCCAGTTATGCACAGTATTTACCAATTAACTGCTGCTAATTGATCAAGAGTCAGGATAACTCTCCACTTTGAAACCAAAGCCCATGATGTAGGAACAAAAGCAAATGAAGAGCCAAGACCCACCTATTTTATTTTTTTATATATATATATTTTCTGATGCCAGGAACACTTTAGAGGTTCAGAAACTTCATTAGAACAGCTGGACTGTTAAACTGTTGCTGACAAATTAAAAAGGTCACAACAAGGCAGAGGCAGCTGGCAGGAGGAGTTTGAGCTTTGCCAAATTATTCACCCATCATGCTGCTTGGAAAGACAGCATTTGAAAATCCTCACCTACCCCATAAGCAACTAAAAATATTGACTAAAGGGTAAGACCCCCCCCCCCAAACCAGCCCTATTCATTGTTTAACAATTCAATCAATATGCTCAGAGAGAGGGGGAGGAGAAAAAACAAGAAAATATTTCTTCAGACATATCATTAAAAGAATAGATTTTGATACATATTTGCATAATCCTCAGACTCATTAAGTTCTAGAAATGGTCAGAAGTTATGCAGAAAGGAGAACACCACTGGAAGTTACATCTCTCTGAACAGCAAAGCCACAGAGTTAACAGCACGAAAACTGGAAGCTTGTCTCACAGTCAAGGAAGCATTTCAGGCAATCAGTGAAAAATCATACTGCATTAAAACCACATGAGTACTGACAGAATATTCCTGGGGTTTGCAATCAAAACTTTTCTTCTCCATCTCATTAAGGGGTTCAGATCAAAAGCTAGACACTAGGTTTCTGGAACCCTGAAGATAAATGTTATCCAGACAGAGAACACAAAAGGATCTGCCACCCACTACTGTAATGGTTTTTAGAGTTAAAACAGCCCAAATGCCATTTCAAAAAAAAAAAAAAAAAAAAAAGGATTGACCTTGTATGCTGTGATTCATAGGAATAAAATTCCCAGTTAAGGAAAAAAAAAGGAAAAAAAACCAAAACACAACAAATAAATGGGAAAAGAGCAGTAGTCAGACAAGAGAAAGGAGGTATTCACTTCCGCATCTTTCAGAAGTGAAGGAAAGAGCTATAGTTGGGAGGGGGCATCACAGTGAAGCAGGCCTTCTTTCAGTGGCACTTGAGTATACATGTTGTGGACAGCTATGTACCATATATGATCTGAAGAAAAATTGCATCCTATGTCTTCTACTTAGTCATCTTCCAGCCAAGATTATTTTGTGGTAAACTTAAAGACATTAGAAGAAACAATTTGAGCATGAGCAAGTTTGTTGAGTCTCTAATGCCAATATGTATGGACAACAGAGTACTTTCAAACAAAAACATATCTGGTTTGAGTTAAAATTACTTCATCCATGGTAAAGATAATAAGAGAAATGAAGGCTAGAGGCAGGCAAAAAACATAACAGTGAAGTGGCCAATTTTATTAAGCTGACAATTACAGCACAGCATCTGTACATATTGAGGCATCTTCTGTCTAGTTGTAACACTGACTACTTAAGATGGAAAATAAACAGAAGAGCAAGATTGTTATATCAAAGCTAAAAACTGGAGAAGGTAGGAAGCAGCTACAAAAAAAAAAAAAACAACAAAAACAGACTGTTCTAAAAAGTCATATCCTTTGAGGATAACACAGTATCTGTACTGCATGCCTTTTGAGAAGCATTAGTTGTACTATGCTTCCTTTTTGCTTAGGATGAAAATAGCAGAGAAAAATAATGTATATCGATTGTTTCTGCTCTGTTGGAAGTGGATGCCCAGGACACAAATTAGGTTCTGCATTGCAGGCTAAGGCAGCAACTAAAACCAGAACAGGCTGGGGCAGGAAGAGCCCTTATGAAATTGTGCTCAGATGCAGGTAAGCAAGTCAAAGATCTGGAACACCTTCATGAACCCATCAGTGCTTTGGGAAGTTAGAGCAGACACAAGATACTTGTTCCATCTTCTACAGTAGAAGCAAAAGACTGGTTTGCTGGTGCTACACGTATATGTATGCAATTGCTGCTATTTGTCACCTCCTTTTCTAGAGATTTCATGAGCTCTTCCATTTAAAGGAAATGCTTGCAAATTCGACTGGGCAAACACTTTAAGAAGTTTCCAGTTTATTAGAAGGAATGGAACCCAAGTTTTGAGGTGCCACTTTGAAGACCCTATGTACTCTATACAGGCCTGAGAGATCCTGACTGCAGGGCAGGGTAGTATAGCCTTGCTGTGCGATCTTGACATGTCAAATGTCTGTGCGTCTCACTTGTCCCAAGTTAGTATAGATAATTTATTTTCACTCTAACGCCCAGTTGCAAGCTTCATATTTAACAATCAAGAAAAACAAGGAAACCAGGAAAGGCACATCATGGCCATGCACAGCAACTCATGCCGGCACTTACAGCTGATGGATTCTACAAGCTGGTTTACCACAAGTGTTAAAGAGTCAGGTTAGATACTCACCTGCAATTCTGCTCAGTGTTTTCTGGTCTTCCTCCAACATTTTCACATATATGACTTGATTGTTAAACTGTCCAATCCCATGAAACATCATATTAAGTTCTTTACCCTGCAAGATGGCTTCCACTTTAGTCTTGCTTTGCTTCAGTGCCAGCACAGCCCTTCAAAAATAATATATATACACACATTGAAAGAAGATTATTTGATTACATATGAAAATATTGATCCTTTTAATACCAGCAAATACACCTAATTTTGTCCACTTTGCAGCATTAAATGGTGTGACAAGCACACTGTATTTCAGAGCTAATGCCTTTGTAACAGAAGATGCAGAGGCATTTTAAACACATTATGTCTTTCAATAACTTTAACCTTAATTTATATAGCAAAAGTGAGTTTCACTAGCAAAGTGAATGTTGAAGTCATTAACATGCCAGGAACAGCTATGTGACTATATGCTGCTAAAGAGTCAAAAAGAGTAAAACTGAACTTATGTTTGTGTCACGTAGTTTAAAGCTTTATCATTGCCATTTTCAACTTGTTCACTAGTTTTGTTCTTAAGCCAAAATTAATTTATTCTCCCACCTGAAGCACATTTAGCATTTGTCTCCTATTCCAGCACAGCTAAGAAAATATCAAATTTATGCTTATGTTAGGAGCTCTATGTCCCATTTCAATAAAGTTTACATGTGCACCTTGCTGTGCAGATACATCTCCAAAAAAGTGAATTACCCGATGACATTAATACTTCAAACTCAACCATTTTTTCTGAAAAACATGGGGGAAAGAACTATAACTAATAGGTTTCTAAATGTAGACACCAAGTCTTTCAGCAGCTTAACACCCACTGAAGTTTCACAGGTGTCCCTTTTTACCCTTGGTGTCTCAGAAAGGGGGATCCTCTCAGTCCCCAGAATTGAGCAGAAACCTTCTACTAATGCTTCTTACTTCTAACCAAATACTTCATAACTAAGGACTGCAAGACACCAGCCAATGGGTTGCCATGGCTCCTGTAGCCACATTTACTTTATCATTTCACCTACAGCAAGTTGTACAACCCACATAGCACAAACTAATTCCTTTAGGAAAACATGCTGCATGCATACAAAGGCCACTTCAGCCAATCAGAGTCAACATTATGAGTAATCCTCACTACTACATTTGAGCTATTTCAGCTACAGCAACATAGGGACTACTTCCTTCTGAAACTTCTGGGGCCTCTGCAGGTGAAGATTTGGTGAGGACAGGACTGAAGGTGGAAAGTGAAGGAATTCTTTGCAGAGGATTTTGCTTCTTCCACCTTAATAACAAGCAAGGCTAATCTAGCCTTTTATTTCCATTATGTCCAAGCTACCATTAAATGCTGCTAGAACAACTTCTCACAGAATCATAGAATGTTTTGGGTTGGAAGGGACCTTAAAAGTCATCTAGTTCTAACCCTCCTGCCATGGGCAGGGACACCTTCAACTAGATCAGGTTGCTCAAAGCCCCATCCAACCTGTCCAGGGATGGGGCAGCCACAGATTCTCTGGACAACCTGTGCCAGCGTCTCACCACCCTCACAGTAAAATATTTCTTCCTAATCTAATATAAATCTACCCTCCTTCATCTCAAAGTCATTCTGGCTTGTCCTGCGACTACCTCCCCTTGTAAAGTCTCTCCAGATTTCAAAAAAGTTCCTTTCCAGCTTCCGTCATGAGATTTGACGATGCCTGCCTGCCTCCCTCTGTGAAGGGCTGGGCCAGCTCTTTCAACAGTGCTATTAGCTTGACAAGTGAGAAATACTTGGCCTAACACTTTAAGGCAGTCTTTCATGTGAGCAGTAGCCACTGAACTACAGCCTCATTTAGTAGAGCTGTGTAGGTAGATAGAAGATAAAGGCTGAAAAGCATTTGGCAAGAAAGATCTGCTTTTCGTTAGGTATGCCCATTATTTTTGTATTACAGGCACATATCTAGTTTTAAGTTCATTAACACTACTTAGCTCCACTCACCTCCCTAACCAATTGATTCCCATTTTGATTGCTGCTCTCTGCTAGCTTTCCAGGTTCTTGGAAGATAGCCTGCCTAGTCAGCAGCACTGACACAGGGTTTTATTACTAAATTACCGTACATGGTGTCTTCTGCATGCAGGCAGTTTAGCCATGTAATGATCCTCCCATCTTTTTTCCCCTCAGGTCCTCCAAAAAGGCCTCTAGAATGTACAATAAGGCAGGTAATTTTAAAGGCAGGCACATACAACCCTGTAATTTCCAATTTAATCCTGCTTAACGGTTACTGCCTGTGTGCGCAAAAGTGTTTCTCTGCTCATATTGGTTGACATCTCTTCAGCTAGACATTCTGCTGTATACCCAAGCGTATCCTATGTCACGTTTACATGGTGTTGAGGCCTCACTATTTTTTCATTCCCTTGCTGAGGTAAGCCAAGGCCCTGGAGAAAGGGCTGCTTCCACCAGATTTCCACCTCTATCACACAGTGTCTTCCAAGAAACATAAAGGCCTTCCCTCCCTGCCTCTTCACGCCAAGAGTCTCAAGTTTCCCATTGTGGAACAGGCTTAGGATAAGGCTTAGAGAAAGGAGATCTATAGCATACTGGTTCTATTTGCTAGATCTTTCTAGCAGCTCTAGCCTTCCTGACTACAGGGTACCTTTTCTTAGTCACCTTTTAATATCCCCATCTTAATCCACAGTGCCCCATTGATAGCCCACAGCTTGAATCAGACAAGTAAGCAGCTTGGAAAGGAGCTAAGCAATTTTTGTTTTCTTCTACAAGTAACATCCTACCAGCTAACATTTCCCAGCTGATACAAGCACAGCTGATCTGAAAAGCTGTGGTTTCTCAAAAGGCAGCAGCTCAGAGAACTTTACATCCATGGAGTTAATTTATAGCAGTAATACAGTAACACAGTAGTAATAGTCACCCATGGCACATACACAAAATTTCAACCTCTAAAGCATCACACCTAGGTTTCATAAAGATCTTTCCCCTCAGGTACTGAGAACAAGACAGAAACTGATAACAAGATAAATTGCATGTAAGCTATGCCAAAACACTTACAATAGCAGAAGTAAGGCTGGCTACCGCATTTACAGAAAAAATAGCTGCACCTGTATTTTGCAGAATTCTTACTTTTTTATTTCTTCTTCTGTTCCCAGGTGAGCTACTATTATAGTCAAGTGCATAGTTTGAACAGGAAGAAGAGCTCTCAACAGATCAGGTTCTTTAGTGAATATGAGCTCTTGGACATCTTCAATTCGGTCCAAAATCTGCAATGGAGTAAACAGGAGACAGCAAAATATATCTTCATTTTAGAATGCCCAAGTATTACTTGAACTCAGAATGAAACCTTACACATCCAAAACTCCAACTCCAAAGTTAAGCCAGGAATCTGCAAAGTAAAACTCCCCAGATCTATCATATAACAACTTTCAGATTCAATTTCAAAGTTAATTTTTCAGGAATTGATTGATCTGGCTCTCTTTTTAAAGCCTACTGGCTAAAGTCATAGCTCTCATGTAAGAAAGCACTGCTAGATCTAAAAGTAGGTCTGAATCTGACCCTAAGCATGTTAGAATAATGCTTGCAGCACTGTGTAAATATTAACGGGATCCTCATGCAGTTGTCAGTTGTTAATAGACCATGGAAATTGAATAACATTTCCATAATTAATCTTATGCCATTTTCTGATTACAAGTTTGATCACAGATTAAACTAATGTCTCTCCCCAAAAAGAAACTAACACCAGGCAAAGATCATCTCGGTAAGCACACTGTTTTCCAAGTTGGTATTTTCTAGAGCCATTTGGCCATTTTCTGGTTCTTCTGAGTCTGTGCCTTTACTCCAAAGAAAGATACTTTCAGAATGATCTGTTAAGGTTTATAAGCTAGTCACAGGAACAAGGTAGGAGGGAGAAGAATTCAATAACACAGGGACTGAGCACCTGGTGGAAGCCTTTCTTAAAGCCAAGTCACTTATAGATTTTCAGATTATTTCACTCAGCAAATTCTGGCTTAAATGTCTAGGTGCTCACACATGTTAGAGCTCCACTTTATTCTTACACAGGTTGAAACAGCTGGGTCAATATGTTTTTGTTTTGCAGTCTTTCTACATAATGCCTTGGCAGTCGTTGTACAGTGCAGTCAATAGTCCTACAACCTGCACAGCAGAAGAGATTAGTCTAACAAGTTTCTGATAAATGTCGTGATAAACCCACACACAATTAAGAGAATCCATTTGAAGATATGAACAGTGAACTCTCTAAATGCACAGACTCTTACAGTACATTTGTCACTGGAAAACACATCAGTGAAGTGACTTTTACATTAAGGTAATTTTTACTGCAACTGAGGCACAGTTTATTATGGTCTGCTACTTACAGCTCATTTGCTTAGATCATGAAAACAGGGCAGGAATTAAGCCATCAAGTTGTCTGACCACAGGAACTAAATCTTTGCTTCTACAAGACTAGGTTATGTGTTGACAGCAATTCCACAAAACAGCCTTGTGTTCTCCTTTGCCCAATCTTTTTAAGAATACTCTTGAAATAAACTAGATGATTCCTTTGCCTCTTCAGTTGGAGGCTTAGCCAGCTGGGAAGCCAAGTTTGAGCAGAATTTCTTCATGTAGACATCTAACTACTGTAGAGGCAATTTTAATGTCTTTCCTGACCCTTTCTTGTCAGCTTCACAAATGTATCTTCAGAACATTCTGCTTCTCCTGTGGGCACAGCCCACCTTATCTCTAATTTTTTTTTATTTTTTTTTTTTCTGTGGCTCAGTCTGTAGCACTTTTCTAAAAAATGCTGGGTTTTTTATAGGAAGGCTGATTTTTGAGGGTAAGGGACAGGGAGTAAGCACTTATAATGGACTACTAAAAGCCCAAAACCTCCATTGCCTGAGGCTGGTGTCCCCACTAGACACAAAGGGGAAAGGACTGTTGCACCAGGAATGCAACAGGTTTTTTTCCCGTTTCCTCAACAGGTTTTTGTCCTGTTGAAAGGGTGAAAAATGAAGACAACTCTCAAAAGTCATCTCAGGATGTCTCAAAAATATGATTAAGGGAAATTAATTCTACCAAAAATACTAACAGCATCTTTAAAACACTTCTGTAATAGGCTACAAGGCCTACAGTATAACAAGCAGCTGTGCTCTACATTCAGTCAGGTTAGCAACATCTGCTTTAGCAGTAAAAAACATTTGAAATTGTTGATAAAACACGTTATATATGCATGTATATGTATATATATATACATACACACACACACATTTATTTACTCACCTTTCACATATACCAGGCCTAAAGTACTGTGCCCTTCAGTGTTCCTATCACAGAGCTTAACCTAGGGCTGCCACCCTTAAAAGATAACACTCAAGAGGAGCATCCAGCCAGGGATCAGATAAATTACAAGATCTGCTAATCTGGCTAGTGGGAGCAGGGAAATCTGAAAGGGCGGAATTGAGAGAGAATAAAAGCAGAAAGAAGGGAAGGACATTCATAGAGGTGTACCAAATGTGATCACGAGCTGTAATATTAGGACACTCAAATCTCATTAAAATAGCAAAATAAGTTAAGCATTCATGTCCCCTCAAGCTGTTCCATGATCTCACTCCTTAAATGGCAGGAAACTTTCCAGTTTCCAGCCTAGATTTATTCTTTGCCCACTTCATACCTATTTGCTTGTCTGCCAACATTGTCTTCCAGCTTACAGTTATTTTCCCTTCCTGGCATTTATCTTCCTGATGTGCTCTGCACTTTTGTTCACCTCTCTGAAGCCAGTCATATGTAGAAATCACCAAAAGTTATAGAAGGCCATCCTCCAGATAACCTTCAGAGACTATTCCACTCAAGATGAAGCCAGAGCAAATAATTGCCTACCAAGAGGAAGGCACCTTTGACATCTCCATTTAACACATACATAAGACTTTCTGCACTTAACTCAGGTAGAAACAAGAACTCAAAAGCCTGCCAAAGAAAGCTGCTATACTGCAGCTTCTTGTCACACTGGGGAAAAGAAAAAAAAAAAGTACAACAGATACTACCTTTCTAGTTAATTATTACCTTTCAGCAGCATAAATACAGTCATGGCAGATACTGCATGGAAACCTAGCCTAGGAAAAAATAGGACTCAAGTTATATATTGCAACAAGCAGTATCCACTTGGCTCACTGGAAAAAACACCATAAACTAACAGCAGAAGCTGGTAGCAGAGAGTTATATTTTCACTACATTCACACAAGTTAACACTCAGTTTTTGCTTGGTAAGAAGAGATCCCAAGATGCATACATATTATAAATATTAATTAACACAATTTATATGCTGTTTCTCAGTTCTGCCCATGGTAGCTGGGACACAGCAATTACTGATATAAATTAAGACTTCCCCCTGCCTGCCTCTGTCAGATGGAAGAGACTGATTCTTGTCTTTGCACCCCAAAGCCTTTCTCTCTTCTCTGCATTTGAGTGCTCAGTCACCTGTTGCCCCTACAAAGTCCACAGCATGGGGCATGCCTAACCTCAACACTCCTGTTCACCAGCCAAGTGACCAGCGTCCCAGGCAAGAGGAATGCAGCAGGTACAAGTACAAAGCGAGGGCCCTGTTTGCTTTTGCATACCCTAAGCAGCTGCTAACAAATCATTGTCATGAGCAAGCCAATTGTCTATAGGAGGCTAAAGTGAGAAAATAAATCCCTGTTCATAAAGGTACTGACAGCAATGCTTTGGGAACAAAACTGTGTTCTTTAGAAACTTTGGGGGGGGGGTGGTGTTCAAGACTTATTCCATCAGAATGGGAATAAGTAGCTCAAGGTGGGCAAATATAGTCTCTCTTACTTTACAAAGGGACATACAGTTATGCCAAAGTTAGGGGCTTCAAACCAATCGTACATGAGTAGTTAAAGAACAAAGTGTGAAATCTGTCCCTCCAGCTTTTGTATTATTTTTGGAATTTTTTTCCATGTTTCCTAAGACAGTGCCTGTAGTACACTACAGGGCTGTCTTGACATATTTAAGAACATTTACTGTGGTAACTGAAATGCTTTAGGTCCCTCACAAAGGCTATAGAAGAAAATACATCTGTTTGTATTTCTGCTGTTTGCTGTCTTTTGGTTTAATAATATGAAGGTGAAAGACTATTGCTTTTTCAACACTTCTTCAAACTTGGATGAAGTGTGCAGACTCCACACACAGCCTTCATGGAATTAACCATCTACCTAAGATGTCAGGGTACGTTTGTTGGGTAAAAGATTGAAAAGAGAATAAAGACATGATAAAATCTTCCATAGAAGCAAAGGAAGCTCTCACCCTCTGCTGTGACCTTCAGTAGGGAAGGAAGTGAACAAGCAAGTCAATATCATTGCACTAAATATGGCTGTAAGACATCATAGAATGAGACAGTGCAAGATGGTGAAAGCCACTGCTTCATTTAGAAAAATGATTATAGAACAGAAGATAATATTGAGGGCAGACCTTATGGAAAGGGCACTGGCAATCCTCAATGTGTTGTTTGGGTTTTTTAATTCCTAGTAGTAACTAAAATATTGGTGTGTTATTGACAGTGTCCTAGCTACAGATACAAAGCACAGCACCTACAAGGGCTGCTATGGGTAAGTTGACTCCATCCCAACCAGACACTACTTCAGGAGCAGCCAATTCCTGCTCCACTGCCTGGCTTCTTAACAAGATTTGAAACCAAAGTAACTAAAATTATGCTTAGCTTACTTAAGGTTTTCATGAAACTGCTACTTCGAAATACCTGATCATCTGTTATTGGAATCGCAACAAAATAATTTGGAGTCTCTCGTGGACGTTTCTTTGACATGTCATGCCCCAGGTCTTCCTTCTGGTCTTTCACCTTCCCCTTAGGCCATTCTTGGACTTTTCCTTGCTCCTGCTTTCTCTCTGGAGCTCTTTGACCTTCCTCTTCTGGAGGTAGATCTGCTTTTAGCTGTTCCTGCTCTTGGCTCTGATCCTCAGTCTGATCCTCTGTCACCATCCCATCCTGCTCTATATTGTCTTCAACCTGCAGCTCCACCACTTCTACTCTTCCCTCTTCTTGGCTCTGGTCCTGCTGGGGTTTTGTCGCCTCTCCTCCTTGATCCTGCCTTTGGCTCGGAGCCCCCTGTGGCACCCGCTCCATCACAGCCAGTCCACTCTCACCTTCAGATTTTGCTTTTGTCTCTCCCCAATTTTGCTTTGGAACAAGCTGCTTTCCATTCCCTAACACTTCCTCACCTTGGTCCTGGAGGCAGATTGCCTCTTCCTGGTCATGTCCCAACTGCAGCTGCACAGTGACCTTGATGCCAGCCATACCCTGTCCCTGCTCCTGTGGCTGTACCTGTACAGTTACTTGCGGGAGAGCTGGCCCTCGGCCACTCTGCTGTAACTGCACCTGCACGGTAACTGATGGGGCCTCCCATCTTGGGCTTGGCTTCCGAGGTCGCACATTCACATTCACCTCTGGAGACTCCAGACCTTGGCTCATCTTCTGTGGGCACACCTGCACGGTCACCTCCGTGGCCTCCCACCCCTGGTCTGTTTCTTGTGGTCCCATATTTGGGGCAATGCCTCCTCGTGTTGTCTGCTTCCGCAGCTGCACATGGACATTGTCCCTTCCCTGGGGCTGCTGATCAAGGGGTTGCAGCTGTGCTGATGAGAGATCTTCTCGTCCTTGCCTTATCTGTACTGGTGAGCAGAGTTGCTGAGCTCCCTCTGGACTTTGATCCACATGAACCTGCTGCTGGACTGTCTCTTGATGCCTACTCCTACACAAGTCCCCTTTTACAACCTCCATCCTATGGCAACAGAATTTTCTTATCCAAAGCTGGGGATTCTTCAAGATCCTCCTCTTTGGCTCTTCAAAGAATTTTTTAAAGCAACTGGAAAACAAAGAAAAAAGCTCAATAGCTATCAAAAGAAAGAATTGCTTACAATAGTTCAGTCAGGGTTCAGCTCTGCAGTTACACTCACTACAGGGAGCACCAACCAGGACAAATAGCTCAATCTAAAAACCTCTGGAGACTCCAGTTCAATATTAAACCACTGTGGTAGTTTAAAAATGTACAATAGTCTTGACTTCTACCCTTGCCCTGCTTAGGTCTCACATATGTTAAGGTACAAGTATGCCATTTCATAGCATGCAGCAGTATAGATGTAGGTTTTATCAAGGGACTACAAGTACATTACCTAAGGTAAAGAAATCCAGATTAGAAGAATAACCTGAGCCAAAGACTCAAACACTGACTATATCCAAAATCAATTTTGCCAGTGAAGCTTTGGTTTCCTGTGACAGCAACATGTTCTCATCTAATCAGACTAGCATGCACTTTTTTCCTCCCAAGTACACATTACTGCTTTTCTACTCCAAAATCCTGCCATGTGTTCCTTTATCTGAAGATCTTCAATTCATCCTATCTTATATCATTGAAAGCCAAAAGGGATTTCTTTTTTCCCTACTAATTGTTTCAGAGGCAAACTCCACAGAACCCCAGAGAACCAAAACATATTTCCTCATCAATCAGTACAGCTCCTCAGTGCAGCTGGATCTACTGCATCCAGACACAAGTGTCACTATTTAAGGAAGACAGCTAAGCAAATAAATCCTGTTTGGTCTGTAGAATTTATCCGTTTCTGGAAAAATGGTTCAGACCCCAGATTATGACCCGCCTTAACTTTAAGTCCTTTTAAGTCATGGCAGCACTGAGTTTTTCTGAAGCTATAAAAAAAAAAATGTAGGCAGATATATTTTTCACAAATCTGCTCTCCAAGACAACCAAAACATTTGTTCAGAATTTGGAAGAAAACTAGATCCCTCCCCACCCCCACAAAACCCACATCCATGAAAAAGTCACAATTGAATAGACAAAGCCTAACAAACCCACACAACCTAAATATTTTAATACTGGGCAGTCTGAGCCACCGGTAATACAGCTCTCTCCCTATATGGAAAAAAAACCAAACAAACAAACAAAAAAACAAACAAAAAACCCCAAACCAAAACAAAAAAATGCAAGTTTTTTTTTTTCGCAGTGGGCTAAAGGTGAGAAGCTTAAGAAACTCACCCTGAGTTCATATTGAGCTAATACACTTTCAAGAATCCAGGTGTTGTTCCATACAAAGAGCTAGTTTTAGAAAGTGGATTTGAATGCTTGCATATCCTTCATGTGTAATTTCACTAAGCACTTAGCTCCATGTCTTGTATTCAATTACAATTTAGGAATTTTGTTGCCTGTATGTCAAATCCACTGCCTTAAAAAGAGACTAATGAAGACTTTTTAAAATGCAAGAGACCAAATGCTTATGGAAATAGACCCTTCCTCTGGAGATGAAGCACTGTGGTCATAAACTAATTATAAAATCAGCTATTACTCATGATATTTGTGCCTGGGCTCCAATGAAAGATTCTGTCCTTCTTGAAGAGTGTTTAATCAGGGATATGCCAAGTCCCTGATCAGCTAGTAGATGATCCTTAAGGAAAGGCAGAATCCAGCATAATACTTTATCCTGAAACAGCATGGAACTTACCTTCAAGTATCTAACATCAGCTTTGACAGAATGAAGCTCTACCATTGCTGTCAAGCAATGAAAATGGAAGAAAAATATTGAAGTCTCACACCCCAACCAAGTAACTGCTATAGATCACAGGTGCATTTTTAAAGTACTTGAAATGGAATATCAGCTGCTGAGACACTATTACACTCTCTTCCTCACAGTCAAGCTACCTGAGAAAGTAAACCCCTTTTTCTCCTTCAGAAATCAAGTTAAGTCTCAAGGATGTGCAAAGCCTTGGTAAGTTGTCGTGGTTTAAACCCAGTCAGGTAACTCATTCACTCACTCCCCCCCCTTCTTTCCCTCCCCCTACTCCCAGAGGGATGGAGAGGAGAATTGAAAAGAATGCAACTCCCACGGGTTGAGATAAGAACAGTTTAGTAACTAAGGTATAACACAAATCACTGCTGCTACCACCAATGATAATAATGATAAAGGAAATAACAAGGGAAGAGAATACAACACCTCACCACCAGCCAACCGATAACTCGTGCCCCCCCAGCACAACCAAGCTCTGACCGATACCTCATCCAACCCCCCATCTACCAGCCCTTCCGGCTCACTCCCAGTTGCATCCTGGGCATGACGTGCTGTGGTATGGAATACCTCTTTGGCTAGCTTGGGTCAGGTGTCCTGCCTCTGCTTCCTCCTGGCTTCCCCTCCTCCCTGGCAGAGCATGAGGCTCACAAAGTCCTTGGCCAAACCAAAATATCCTTGTTATCAGCTCTGTTCCCGAGCTGAAAGTCAAAACACTGCACTGCACCAGCTACCAAGGAGGAGAAAAATGACTGCTACTGCTGAACCCAGGACATAAGTACATACTATGATAGTTCAGCAAGATTCAGAGAATGCAGCATCTGAGTAAAATAGTAAACTCAGTTTACTCTGTAAACAAGTATTTATATGCATGTCACTCAGTCAGAAATGATGTTTAATGCACTTAGAGTGACAGCAGGATTCATGCCACTAAAACTTCATAAACCCCACTGAAGTCTTTGTCTTACGAGATGTACAGCCGAGGCATGATGCAACAGATTTAGACAAACCCTTGTACACAGCCTAAGTTGCTCTGGGAGAAATTGTTAAAATGCATAACAACTTGTTAAAACAAGTAGCAAGTGCCAAGGTGGTGGGCATTTGTTGGTTTCTGTTGGGTTTTTTCCCTTACCAAGCTAACACTTACAAGCTTGTCATCTCTTGCATTTGTGCCTGCGCAGTAGCTTTCCGTGAGGATTTTGCAGACTGTCACCAACGTAGGATAGAAAAACATGACAGCTCAGGCTGAGTATAAAAGTAGTGCATGGAAAGAAGCTGTGGTGTTCTTTATAAACTAATGGACATCTTTCATGGTTTTCAATATGTAACATCCAAGTAGTCTTGTCAATATTACACAGTTCTTTCCCTATACTATTTTACTCTTAAACCTGTGTTGCTTCATAGGTGCAAATCTACCATAAAATCTTCTGTTGACATCCCGACCACCTAAAAGAACTAGAGCTGCAACTGTTACTCAGCCACCGCTACACTATTCACAAGTCCAGAGAGTCCTTGCAGCCATTTCATGGCTATCACCAAGTCAGGAATTAAGGGCTCAAGATTTTTTTGCCTTTTGTTGTACAACCTGAATTCCTCCGAGGTTGACAAAGTGGTAGCATTTTGATCTTTTAACCACTTCAGCACCTGTATGAAATAAAATGTGGCTATAGACCCCAGAAGGCTCCAAGCTTCCCCCAAACTTCTTCCACTGCTGCCCAGAGCCCTGCCAAGCCATTGCAGGTGACAATATCAAATACTCATCCATCTACAGTAAGCTCCAGTGCAAGGCAGACAGCCAAAAGCCAAGTGCCACAGACTGCGTTCTATACAAATAAAGGTTCCTTCTCCTATAGGGCTTAAAAAGCCCTGAAATATATTTTTTTGGAGCCCCTGAAAAAAAAACTAGACCACCTACTCACATCCAAAACATGTAAAATATGAGAACTCTTTCTTCAAATAAGTTGCTTACTCCACTTTAGCCTTTCAGCAGATCTTCTGCAGATACCTGCATCCCAACCAGGAGCTCTGAAACAGCAAAAGCATGAACTCCAAAGGCAAGCTCCTCCCACCTTTAGCCCCATGCCTAAATCTGGAAACAGCTAGTAACTCTGCCTAGCTAGCACCACCCTTGATCAAAAGGGTCTATAAACATCCAGAAGGAAAGTTGACCTATCCTACATAGATGTAGGCAGCATTTAGCCAAAGGCCTTAGTTTGCCCTCTGCTGCTTCTCACCTCCTCAGTCTTACAGTAATAGGATGCTCGAAGTAAATGACAATACATAATTCTCCGCTGCTCTAAGCTTTAACTCATCTAGTGTGAGACAATTTCCCATCGCCAGTGATAAACTACCATACCATACAGAAACCCTGGAAGCTAGGCAATGTTTGCTTCTACGCAGAAAGTTTTTGCACTGCAGGGAAGCCCCACAGGAAACTGCTGACTGGGTAACACTGCCTCAATACTTCTAAAGGACAGTGTTGAAATCTGCTACAGCCACCCCGCCTCATGTGAGCCAGTCTCCCTGAGCAGAAAATAAGCCATGACAACAGCTTTTACACAGTTGTCCTTCATCAGGTAAGTCAAACTCCTCAGCTGTGACAGTAACATGCAAGTTTTCTGCCACTGGTCTGGGAAACCCAAATAAAAGTCAAGGGCCTTGCTTTCTGACCCAAGTCCTCTCCCTCACTCCTCAACTACAGGACAGCAGGATGCAGATCAGCAGCTAAGGAGAGGGCTTGGCAAAGTTCAGAGGGGCTGCTTAGACTGCTGGGAATAAAGGGAAGACTTGCCAAGGTACTGGCCAAGCATAAGCACCTGCTCACTGTAGTAATTCACTTCTCATGCTTTACCCAACATGTGAACAGCTGCCTGGGGCCTCAGTACCCTCCATGCTCCCCCTCTGCCTCTCCTTTTCCCTGCCCCATTCTTCTTCCCAATAAAGCTATCAGTTTGGTGAAATAATCTGATGTGCAGGAGGCAAAGTGCATTCGGGGCAAGCAGACCTAGGTGCAGCAGGAGTCTCTCTAAACAATACTGCCTTCTGGCAACCTATGCTTAAAACATGCAACTTGTCCAGCCATTCTAGAAAGCTGTAGTTACACAAGTCACTTCCCTCAGTCTTCTGATATATTTGTGTGGTCATCAGGCCTTATTCTCCCCAGAAATAACTGCATGCTTTGCAGCACTGACATCTGATACTTGTATATTTTTCTTGTTAAACTGCCTTTTCAGGATTCTGCTCCCATGTTATTGAGTAG